TCGAACCTGGGTCTTCTGCAAGAACAGTCAGTGTTCTTAACCACTGAGCCATCTCTCCAGTGCCCAGATGCATACATGTCATATCAGACCTATAGTAGGGCAACACAACTGTACTACAGCAAGGAGCCATGCCATTCTGAACCATATAAAGAAAGATCAATTCTTCTCATGGTTACCCCCACAGATGCTCACCATCAAATGCTTCATGTCTTTTTACCCATAGCAGGGGCAATACAACCGCTTCTTCCAAACTCACCTTTGTTCGGTTGTATCCCTATTCTGGAATCAAGTATTATGTAACTTCATTAAGAGGCATGAACAAACTTCTATTTGCCCCATCATGCCTCATCATGAAGTGCCTCATTAGCGATCTTTTGAGCAATCTAGTAAGCCACCTTATGAGCTACCTCATGAGTCCTCTCCCCCTTCCACACAGGAATGATAGTAGGCCCAGTCTTGTGAGGGCCTCATGTAGGAAATCAGACTATTCTGATTCCAAGATGGCAACAGCTGTATCATGCCTAGAGAACAGCCTTCTATACAACACATACGGAGAGAGAGAGAGAGAGAGAGAGAGAATTCATTCCACTTATATATGTGTTACTCATTTTATGTTCATACATATACACATATTGGTATTTTTTGTATGTGTATTTAAGAACTTAAATGGAAAACAGATTAAAATGAAATGTTTTATGAAAAAGGATCAAATTATATTAATGTAAGAGGCTGAGCAGAGTATTGATGACAGACTTCCAAGAAATATTTTGATGATCAGTTGCTTCCTATATAAAATGCATCTTGGGGCTGGAGAGATGGCTCAGCGGTTAAGAGCACTGAATGTTCTTGCAGAGGACTTAGGCTTGAATCCCAGCACCCACATGGTGGCTAACTGTCTGTAACTCCAGTTCCAGGGGCTCCAATGCCTTCTTCTGATCTCTGCAGGCATTGCACTACATAGGTACACTTACAGACATGCAGGCAGTACACTCATAAACATAAAAATAATAATAAAATAATGAAACACACATCTCAATGAAATAGATTTCTAATAAATATTGCTCATACAAAAACTTTTGTTAAAAGCTTTACTCTTTATTATCCAAATGAGAAATTCATGATACTCTAGCCTCTAAGCAATAACTATGACACAAACTCATTTCTTAGGTATTCTCCCAAATTACATGTAAGCTTAATTTTAACTGGTCAGTTTTCAAACTGAAATGGAAAAAATACCAGGCAGGCTACAACAGTCTTAACTGACCTCTAAATACATTATTATTCCTTAATAGAGGTAAAAATCAATCAAGATGACAGAATTTATTCTATTCTATGCTTGCCAATTATTAAGAGTTAAGAGAGCATAATAACAGTCATGTTTTTGCAAATATCTATGATTTTAGATAACCTGTAGAAACAAAGAGGTTTATAACTTCACTAGGAATCTCAATTTTGAAAGGTCAGCAATTATTCTAATGCTGATGAAATATCTGTGTACTACAAAAAATAACATAAAGATCAAAGAAAGTGTCCTAGCTAATCTTCATGATACATGGTCCTGGGCTCAGTGATACCCCAAAAGTCAAATCTTTGGAGAGATTTTAAAAAGCTATTTTGGAATGCCCACAACTGGCTCCACAGTAAATTACACAAGAAAAGCTCTTTCAGGACACTTCTAAGTCAGATACTTTTAGGACAAATTTGATGGCACCAGAGGACATCAGTAGAACTTCACAAAAAAATTATATGAAATTACCCATCAGAACAAGGACAAACTGGAAACCACACTCAGCACTGATGGGAAATTTTACTGTCCTTGGTATAGACTTCATGTGTCAGCAGAACTAACCTGTTAAAACTGTCATTCTTGTAAATTTTGTAAATGGATTTCCTAAAATTAACCCCTGTAACTGGTTCTAAATATGTTTCATCGCACCTCACTTCTCAGGATGGACTGAAACATCTCAACAGAGCGTTAGCCTTCTGATAATAGAAAACAAATTTCTTGATTTTGTGTTCCTAAACAGTATCTCCAGTAATACAGGTACTTGTATTCTTGGCATTGATTTTTACAATGCCTTCTCATTAATTTGCAAACTCATTGTTTCCAACATCTGCAGTATTTTAATTACTTTCTATTGCTGTGATAAAAACACTGATCAAAACCAACTTGAGGAAGAAAGGGTTTATTTTATCTTACATCTCCCAGATCATGGGCAGGAATATGGGGGCAGGAGCTAAAGCCTAGACCATGGAGGAATACTACTTGATGGCTTGCTTCCCTGGTCTTTACTTAGACTGCTATCTTATACAATATAGGACCACCTGCCCAGAGGTGGCATCACCCACAGTGGGCTGGGCCCTCCCACATCACTCAACAATCAAGAAAATGCGCCACAGACATGGCCACAGGCCAATCCAATAGACACAATTCCTCAATTGAGGTTCTCTCTAACCAGGTATGTCAAGTTCACAACTAAAGCTATCCAGCACATGTAGAATTAAGGAAAGGAGAGAGCTAATAGCATGTTCCTGGGTTACTCTTACTCTTCCACTCTCCAACTCATAAGACTATGAGTCCACCTTCTTCTATAGTCCTTGGCTTTTGCCATGCAAATTTGTTAGAAGTTGCCATACAACTGGCTTTTTCTCTCCTGATATGGGGCATTTCCTTACTTCAGACAAACATAGAACAAGTACTCCAAAGGCACATGTATTGAGATCAGAAGTGGGGATAATTGAAAGGCCATCAGGCTTGGCCACCCTTACCTACTGAGCCATCTCACAGACCCTATTCTAATTATTATAGTGTTATAAAATGTTTAAGAATCAAAGTGCCACTCTATCCTCTTTTTTCTCCCAGTACTTTCTGGGCTACTCTTGACTATGTTTATTTCCATACAAACCTTTGAATTAACCTAAGTACTCTCAAGCATGGTTTTGGTATTTTAAATAGAATTATATTAAATTTACTGATTAACTGAATTACTGAATTCCTATTCTGAAAATGCTATACTGTTCAGTCTTTCTATACAAAAATGAGATCTAGCCAGATTCAGCTGGGATTAGCTGTAGTGTCAGCTACTCAAAACACCGAAATGGAAAGATGACTTGAGCCCAGAAACTCAAGAGCAGACTGAACACCAAGACTCAGTCTCAAATCAAGCAAACAAAAAAACAAAAAACTCACACACACACACACACACACACACACACACACACACACACACACAGGAAACAGAAACAAAGCAGGAATTTACATTTAAAAATCTACTGTGAGTTTAATTTGTACTTACAATTTGCCTATTGTTTCTCTCCACAGACGGGTCTGTAGATCTGTTCGTTGATATAATACTACCCTGTTTTACTCCTATATTCCAGACAATCGTGTGGGTCAGATTTACCTAAAATTCTAATAACTACTAGTTAGATTTAAACTCTGTCATGTGAATTCTGACTCTGTTACCCCTAAGCTCCTATTTCCATATTGCTAAATGAGGAGGGGAACGATCATCATTAAGCTTTCACATTTTAGGTGTTAATATTGCTTTGATGGAAGGCATGAAAAGCACTATCATAAATATTTTAGTACAGATAAAGTTACAGAGAAAATCAGAGCTGATTTTTTTTCTGTCTGATTATATTATATAATAACACCCCCGGAAGCTGGTTGTCCTGGCACATGTCTTTAATCCCAGCACTCAGAGGCAGAGGCAGGAGAATCTCTGTGAGTTCAAGGCCAGCCTGGTCTACACAGTGAGTTTCAGGCCAGCTGGGGCTACAGGAAGACCCTGTCCAAAAAAAACAAAAAAAAAAAAAAAAAAAAAAACAATACCTCAGGAAAACATTACACTAGTCCTGAGCTTTCACTGCTTTTAAAATAGTCTCATTTCCCTATAAAATACTATAATGTTTTTAGGTACAAAATAGAAGGTAGGAGATCCTTGCAGACAGCCTGAGAGGAAGCCTTTGAGAGGGAACTGACACTGATTCTAACCACTCCAACAGCTATCAAAATACCTGAAAGCAACTCCTGAATCCATCACTCGAGTCCAGCCTTGGAAGACAAAAGAAAAATGAGGAGGAACCCAATAGAGAGATGCTTTTGGAAGCCCTTGTCAAGAAATTCCAATGGATTCTCATTGGAACATCTGAAAATTACCCTCTTCTGACTTTTTTCTAGTTCCCTGTCTAGAACTTATAATGCTAATTACTCTTGCCTTTACTTCTCCTTCACATCTCCTAGTCACAATTCAAGGACTTTTTTTTTCCCCCTAGAGATAAGAGTTATGCAATTTGGGAGTCTCTTAGATAGACTCACTGAAGGGGTACTCCAATTGCCTCACCCTACATCCCTGTTCAGCATGGAAGAAGCCAGAGCAGTCTGCATCCCAATTCCCTATTGGCAATTTGGATAACCTAATCAGAGGATGGTGTGATAAGAATAGGAGGTAAGAATTCAGTAGGCAGTTAGGATAAAAAGACCCCAAAGAAAGTAGCCAGTTTCTTTGCTAAAACTCACAATGTCCTTGGGCCTGTTAGCAACATACTCTGTTTCAAAGGCCAAAAATGTCAAAAGTGGAGAATGTTAGAGTAGCCAAAAGCCCCATAAAAATAAATCAATCAATCAAAGAAGAAAAAAGAGTACACGAAATTATCAGAAAAAAGTGATGGGGAGTTATGGGAGGAGTTGGAGGGAAGGGAGTGGGCATTTATCTGATCAAAGAACTTTATATGCATGTATGAAATTCTCAATAAATTATTTATTTAAATAAAAAAATAGAAGGTATCCATATTATCCTTGCTGCTGTATCAAAAAGCCTAAAAATTATGAAGCCACAAATGTCATCACAGTTTTAGCAGGAATTGTCCTGAGGCTTTGTCTCTAATAATGTACAACTCCCAAATATATTTAAGAAATTTTAATGTAATTTTGCAATAAGGATTAAAATGTACTTTAAACAAATGCTGAAATCCCAATTTGAGGGAGAAATACTTACCTTTTGCCATTTAAGTTCCTGTGTCTCCATAATAATTTTACTAATCTGCTCTTCATATTTATGTTCGGCTTCCTAAGTTAAAAAGAAAAAGAATACTATAAAAATTAGAACTTCAAAACGTTTAGTTCCTGCTCTTTCTAGAGTGTCAGAAATGGTATACTTTTGCACTCAAAAGAAAAAACCCTGGTATTTTGCAAATTAAATGGATAAATCCAGTAGGCGACTAGAGGTGCAGATCAAACAAGTAACATAAAATCTGGATGGAAGCAGGTGCCCATAGGAGAAGCAAATCTCCAGCATTTGTGCATCTAGGAATTGCCCAAGCCTAAGTGGCACATCTACAATGCAACCTCCACACCTAAGGCTCATGGAACATAGTGGACTAAGAGGTAGAGAGAAAACACTAAGGCATCTTTCAGTTTTCATCAATGAAAACCCCTCATGCAACAGTGGGCCAGGAACACAAAAGAACACAAATGGTCAAAGTGTAGAAAGTAAGAGTCTTCAGAGAGTGGGTCCTTGGACAGGACTCCTATATTAAATTCTATCCACTCAGGGCTCAGGGACCATTTCAGAAGAGGGGACAGAAAGATTGAAAGAGCCAGGGACGAGGTGTATGACCATATGGAAATAAGAGTCCTACATGCTCCTGGGACCTTGATCATATGAACCTACAGTAATGGTGTTAGCATTCAGAGACATATGCAAACTCAGACAAAACTCCAGCACAGAACTGTGGAAATAGGCATCAGGCCCCAATCTTAGTTGAAGAATTATTGACAGCTGGTCACTGCTAGGAGAGGAAGAGCTGATCTTCTTAAAGGGAAGGACTCTAGATAGACTGACTAGACACCAGTGAATGAATTTGCACTGAGGAACACCTGGGGGCACTAACTTGACATGATAGGCCTTAACACAAATGACAGAATGTATGAATTCCAGTCAGGGGAGGGCTATGGGAGGGTGCCAATGGGGAAGGAGGTATAAAGATGATCAAGATTGATTAAGATGTTCTGTATGAAATACACAAAAATTCAATTAAAAAATGACCAATATAACAAAATGTTAGTAGTGTTATTACTAGTCTGTAAAATTCTTTCATTTTGCTCTATATTTGATAATTTTCACAACATAATGCTGGAGAGAGAAAAAACAGAATATGGGGCTGAGGAAATGGCTCGGTCAGTAGTGTTCTTGCCATGTAAGCATGAGGACCTGAATTCAATCCCCAGCACCCACATAAAAAATAGGTGTGGTAGGTAGCACACACTTATATCCCAGGGCTGGGGAGGTAGAGAGAGATGGATCCCTAGGGCTCGGTGGCCAGCCAGCATAGCCTAATTGGCAAGCCCCAGGTCCCATAAAAACACCATCACAAAATGCAAAGTGGACAGGTCATAAGAAATTACACCTGAGATAGACCTCTGGTCTCCACATATACATACATGCACATATACCTGCACACATGCACGCACTCGGAAAGACACACAAACACATACATACTCTGTAAATATATACACAGAGATATTAACAGATGAAATATGTGGGTGG